GAGTAGCCCAATTATCTAGGGTGTGGGTACTTTAATTTTCCAATACAACTTTCACAAAATGATATATAAGGATTAATACATTATATATATATATATATAAGTATTTTTATTTAAAAATAATTACAATAATTCTCATATTATCAAGTTTTAATCTTTTTCTTAAATATAAAAATATAATAAATTAATTATTTATATTTTATTTATTACATTAAAATAATTATCAAGTTTAAATTTAAAAAAATAACAAACAAATTAATAATTTAATACAGAAGATCCGCAACTCGCATATGATCAAACTTAAACATCAATTTAAAAAATCAAATTAAATTTAAATCTTTTTAGCCCAACTCATTATAATTTGTAATATGAATCAAAATAACTCACAATGGTCAAATAGCTCATTTTACTAACTCTAATATTAACGCTAAATATTAGTTTTTAACTTTAATTTAGATTGCCTAGTTCGTGTTACTTTTTATTTTCCTATTCTACTTGGGGTATTTAAAGAATAAAATGTCATCAGCATCTTTCTCGTATATTATTCATTATTATAAATTCAAATTAAATATCAATACTTTATTATTTTTTTAATATATTTTTCTCTTAAACTTGTAGCTTTTAACCTATTCAACCCTTTTACAATAAAAAATTTATTCTATATTCCTAGTGTTCCGCATGTTGTGTGGAATAAAACGAAATCATTAAACAAGAATGATACTGTAGCTGTTTGCTCCATTTTCTAATCAAAAATCTATTTGAAGTAAAAAATTCGAGATTCATGGTTGAGGATACATATGCTTGTTCTCTTTCAAACTTTTTCACCTTTAAATTTGCGATCCTTCTATAATTACATCTTTCATATATTAAAAATTAAGCAAGCATGTATTGAAACCACTTAATTTTCTTTATTCCATTTATTTGATCTATAAGTTAATAATTTATGAAGCTGGTCCACAACTACCTATGCATATTTTCATAAACTTTGAGCTCATTCTTTCCAAAAAAAAATAAATAGTAATTAATTAGTTTACGTTAAACATGATTTTTGTCCTCTTTTACAGCTATAGAGTTTAGTGAGAGATCATTAAGCTTCTCCGGAATAACAACTAGTTTGGTCCTTTACTTCACTAAGGTTATTCATCAAGATCTTAAGACAGCAGTTAAGAATGTGAACTACGTGGCTGGTTCCACCACTTTGTTTGCATTACTCGGAGGATTCTTGGCTGATGCATACTTAGGTCGTTACACCACTGTGATATAGCATCATGTGTTGTTTATCTCATGGTAATATAAATCTCACTCACCACATTCAATTATGAAAATCATGACATTACTATTATTAATTTAGCATTTTATAATTATATACCTTATTAATTATGAAAAACTTGTTTTTGTCTGAAAAAAAAAAAAAACAAAAACAGGGTTTGGTTATGCTTTGCATGTCATGGTTCTTACCAGCTTTTAAGCCATGCGATCATAATATGTGCACTGAACCTAGGAAGATTCATGAAGTGATTTTTTTCCTAGGCATCTATTTAGTATCCATAGGAACTGGGGGGCATAAACCTAGCTTCTTTGCAGAGCTTTGGTGCTGATCAATTTGATGATAATCATGCTGAAGAAAGAAGGCAAAAAATGTCATTTTTCAACTGGTGGAGCTTTGGTTTGTGCAGTGGACTCATTCTGGGATCCACCGTGATTGTTTATGTGCAAGATCATGTAAATTGGGGAGTTTCTTATATCATCCTCACAGGGGTCATGGCTATCTCATTGCTCGTGTTCTTGATAGGGAGGTCTTCTTATCGTTATAGGACACCAATTGGGAGTCCCTAATTAACTCCTATGTTGCAGGTTCTTGTTGCTGCTATTTCCAAAAGAAAGCTTCCATATCCTTCCGATCCAACTCAGTTGTATGAAGTTTCCGAGTCTGATGGCAATAGTGAGAGATTTCTTGCTCATACCAAGAAATTCAGGTAAGTAGTAAAAACTATATCATTACATGGAGAAAGAGAGGTCGATTTAGAGGTATATATATATTCAATTCTTATGTTATATATGTGGCACATGTGAAGGAGGTAAAAAAATACTTTTATATCAAAAAAATCAAAAGTCAATTTTGTTGGATTGTTGTGCACCGCGGAAACCTTGTAAACCAATGTTGGCCTATTAATTCAAACTATCAACTGTGATTCTAATTATTGTGCAAAAGTTTTTACTCTTCACATATTATCTATTTTGAAAATTTTCATAAATTTATTTTTATCATCATTCAAAATATTTTTTTATTAATGAAGATTTTGTGTGTATTTATAAATTCATGTTTCTCCTATAATAATGAGGTGTTTTGATTTTTAAAAGAATTATTAAGTATTTCAGAATTACTAAATATTCATGATTCGATTCCTATCTAATCTTACTTGACATGCATTTAAGTTATTAATTTGCAAAAATAAAAATTGATTACATATCACTAGAAATGTTCAAAAAACTATATTAAACTAAACTATTGTAAAAACTAAACTAAACTAAACTATAAAAAACTAAACTAATTTTTATAAAAACTAAACTATATTTGAAGTTTAGTTTTAAAAATTAAACTATTATAAAAAGTAGTTTAGTGAACTTTAACTATTAAAAAAAACTTATTGTAACGACCCGCCACGGTCTCTACACTTCTTAACTTCACGAAGCGGGAAAGTCCGAGTTTTCCCAACATAAACTAAGTCTTACATCATTAAAAAAAGAAAATAAATAAGGATTTATAAAATATACACATATTCTATTAAAAAAAAAAATTTTACATAATGATCAAAAGTAAAACTATAAAAATTTAACCTCAAAATGAATAATATCAAATTAATATAGAGATGTGTATAATATTCGACTCACACCAAGATATAATGTTCCTCTCAAAAAATATAACCCACAAACAAACCTACAAAATATTGTAACATTATAGACTTTACATTAATTAATGTTCTTATAATTAAAAATATTCATTTTAATCTTCTAAATACTGTTTTTGTTTTTTTTTAATCTATGTAGTTTCATAAACTTAATCTTTTGATCTTTATAGAAATTGATGATGGACACTAAAACAGATAAAAAATAATATATATAAAGACTAATATATCTGTAAAGACTAAATTATAAAATATATAAAACAGTAAGACTAGAAAATAGTTGAACCTAATAATAAGTATCCATGCATGCATGCTTGTATGATATTTTGAGAGTAAGGATACCATGATGAGTACTCTGGGAGGAATTTGCAGTGGTGGATGGTACAGGAGAAGGAGAAGGAGAAGGAGAAGGAGAAGGTGAAGGAGAAGGAGATCCTTGTGGCGACAACTGTAGTGTTAATGTATCAGCCATAGGTTTATAGAAGCTGAAGTTGTCGTATCTGAAATCACACGTTGATCTAATAACTCCACCACCTGAATTGTTAGTACAACAATCTGGCAGTTTCGAAAAGGCTAAATTCAAGCAATCGTTGCATTCTCCCACCGACAAATCAGGTGAGCACTGAGCAACAGCATATATAGTTTGAGAATTGGGAGCTGTGGCATTTCCAGAAGCATATTTACGTTTCAGATGGGAGTCGGTTGCAGCTTTGTCTCTTAGTGTTGCCAGCAACTTGTTGAGCACAAAGCTGTACTGATCCCAATCTGTTACATTAGTTTCAGACATCAAGTAGACCCAGAAATTATATTCTTGGTAACCATCTAAGGAGTAATATGCATAGTGCAACTTGCATGTATCATATCCTCCTTCTGCCTCCTTATGTAGTGGACAATGCTTTAGGAGAAGGGAAGCAGAATTGTTGAGGCAAGTGCGGCAAGCATGTGGGGTAACATCCCCTCTGCAAAGGCCAGTTGAGTAGACTTTGTCGGAAGCTTGGCCGTAGGAGGCACTGTAGAAGCCATAGTCAATTTGTGTGTTGAAGATGAGCCTGGAAAGAGCGTTTTTGAGGTTGGTGGGGTAGGAGCTATTGGGGGTGTAGTTTCCGCTTGTGTAGCACACTCCGTAACTGTATTCTGGGTCGCCAGTGGCTTCAGATATCAGAATAAAGAAGGAGAGAAAGAGAAAAGGGTAGGTTTTGGCTTTCTCTTGTTCTAATCTGTTTTCTGACATCAAAACGGAGAGGGGTACCAAAGGGGTGAAGGGTGATGAATTCAGTGACAGTGTGTGACACTATATAACGACTAAAGAAAGCAAAAATAAGTGAGCACAAGTCTTTGAGAAAAGACAACAGTTTCATGACTTTGTTCACAAGTCTTTGAGAAAAGACAACAGTTTCAATACGTTAAATAAATTTATATAATTCTTTTTTTTTAAATACTGTTATAATAATGTTTATAGTTTCATTTAGTCAAGTTCAAAATAGACATTTTTAGTTTTATATTTTTCTTTATTCATCTTTTATAGTCTCTATAAATTAAGATATATTATTTTAATATTTATGTTTATCTTTTTTTAATCTTTTTTAGTACTTGTTATTAATTTTTTTATAATATCATTTTTTTTATTAATGTGGTAGATATTTTTAATTTTGTGAAAATAAAAAAAAATATTTAAAAATGGGCCTTGTAGGTAAAAGAGAGACATAAAGTGCCAAAATAATTAATTTATGATAAGTCTAAACAAAATAAATTCGATATCAAAAACATAAAGTTAAATAATATCTCTGTCATATTAACATAAAAGAGATAATGTTAAAAAGAAATTAAATTTAAAGATTAAAAATATTTTTAAAACATTATAAATATAAAACAAAAAAATATTTTAAATTATAGGGACTAAAATTAATTAAAAAAAAATAAGTATGACAATTATAAAAATTTATTTTAAATTATAAAGATTAAAATACAAAATAAGGAAAATTATGTGAAATAAAAATGTATTTTAATTTTTCTATTCTATTTTTATAGCTTCTCTCGTAATTGGGTAAATAGAAGATTTTATTCAAACACCGGAAGAACTCATGATTTTGGATTACATATGGGCTCGGATTAGGTTTTGGATTGACTTGTTCAATATAGTGACTTTTGTGGTTGTGATTGTGGAAGACCAAAAGAAAGAAGAAGAAGAAGAATAAAAAATTAAGATAGTGAAGAATGGGTGTTTTGTTTTTTCTACTTATTTTAATTTAAATATCATTTGTGTATATATTATTAATTTATAAAGAAGTATTATTATTATTATATATAATTAATTGTGAAGTGTGTTAAACCTCTATAATGAATATAATAAAATATTTATTACTTGATTATTGGTTCTTATAGAATAAAAATAAATAATATAAAGTATAATATAAAAATATATCTCTATTTATAGTTATTATTATCACAAAGAAAATAATGGAGCATTACAAACTTTATATAAATAAGACTAAAAATCCTTTTATAAACTCAAAAATGTAACCCACCTTTAATTTGACTCATCTATTAAAAGTTAATAATGCATAAATTTAAAATTTATAATGGTTATATCAATTATAAATATGAGTCACTTAATTGTTATATTGTTATATTCTTACAAAATGAGGTTATTAGTGATAATTGTTTTTAATTAGAGTAAAAAATTATTTATTTTATAAATTTACAATTTTGAGAGGATTAAGATTCAGTGAATTTTTTTTCCAGAATTGAAACCAAATAAAAAATTATAAAAATGATTTACTTCTATTATTTTCCTAACGAAACACGTACAATATAATGATGCATTATTTAGAATACTAATTGTAATAATATTTTACAATTTTTTAACATGATTTCTCTTCACGCACAATATAATTATAATTCTGCAAAATTAAAGTTTGTTGTTTTGAAAATTAAGAGTCAAAAGAGAATTTATTATGTGTTGGTTAAACACGGCAATATCCATGATTCAATTTTTAACATGTAATTGAGATTTTTCAACTCTAAATATGTTGTATACTTTCAAGATGAATAAGTCCATCCCGCGTAGTCCTCACGTTTTCTTGCGCTGGAGTACCGTCTTGGTCTCGGACACAAATACTGTCATATTTTTGCTATAAAAAAAATTAATTATTCATGTTAAGATAATAAAATGATTATCATAACTAAGTTTATATTTATTATTTTTTGAAAAATCACTCATGTGTTTTACTTTTTCTTTTTTATATATATAAAATTTGATTAAAATACACTTTCAGTGTATCATTTGATCAAAGATTGTTAATTTTAAAACACTTATTTTAAAATCACATCTTTTATTTTATTTTTTTATAACTGTAAAAATTTAATATTTTATGTATCAAAACTATACTAAAGCACAATAGCTTTAAATTTTCCCAATATGCTTGAAAATTGAGATAAAATAAAATAGATATTTTTAGCCTTTACATTATCTTTTTCAACCAATTTCCATAATTTAATATAGATCTTTTTAATATTTATATTGTGCTTATTGATAATATTTTCTTTTTGTAACATTTGTTTTGTGTTGATAGGATAATGGTCTTAAATTTTTTGAAGGTAAAAAAAATGTTTTAACAATGAACGTTGCTGATAAAAGTAAAAAAAAAAAAATATAAAGTGTCGAGGTATAATTTAGAATAATTCTAATAAATAAATCTATCAAGCAAAAAAATTGAACTAATACCTCTATTACATTAATATGAAAGAGACAACATAAAAAAAAATTGACATCAATAATTAAAAAATTAAAGAAAAAAACTACAAATATAAAAATTAAAAATATTTATCTTAAATTAAATGATTTAAAAAATAAATAACTAAAAAATAAAATAAATAAAATTATAAAAACTAAAAAAATATTTATATCATAAATAAATATAGACCGGAGTAGCCCAATTATCTAGGGTGTGGGTACTTTAATTTTCCAATACAACTTTCACAAAATGATATATAAGGATTAATACATTATATATATATATATATAAGTATTTTTATTTAAAAATAATTACAATAATTCTCATATTATCAAGTTTTAATCTTTTTCTTAAATATAAAAATATAATAAATTAATTATTTATATTTTATTTATTACATTAAAATAATTATCAAGTTTAAATTTAAAAAAATAACAAACAAATTAATAATTTAATACAGAAGATCCGCAACTCGCATATGATCAAACTTAAACATCAATTTAAAAAATCAAATTAAATTTAAATCTTTTTAGCCCAACTCATTATAATTTGTAATATGAATCAAAATAACTCACAATGGTCAAATAGCTCATTTTACTAACTCTAATATTAACGCTAAATATTAGTTTTTAACTTTAATTTAGATTGCCTAGTTCGTGTTACTTTTTATTTTCCTATTCTACTTGGGGTATTTAAAGAATAAAATGTCATCAGCATCTTTCTCGTATATTATTCATTATTATAAATTCAAATTAAATATCAATACTTTATTATTTTTTTAATATATTTTTCTCTTAAACTTGTAGCTTTTAACCTATTCAACCCTTTTACAATAAAAAATTTATTCTATATTCCTAGTGTTCCGCATGTTGTGTGGAATAAAACGAAATCATTAAACAAGAATGATACTGTAGCTGTTTGCTCCATTTTCTAATCAAAAATCTATTTGAAGTAAAAAATTCGAGATTCATGGTTGAGGATACATATGCTTGTTCTCTTTCAAACTTTTTCACCTTTAAATTTGCGATCCTTCTATAATTACATCTTTCATATATTAAAAATTAAGCAAGCATGTATTGAAACCACTTAATTTTCTTTATTCCATTTATTTGATCTATAAGTTAATAATTTATGAAGCTGGTCCACAACTACCTATGCATATTTTCATAAACTTTGAGCTCATTCTTTCCAAAAAAAAATAAATAGTAATTAATTAGTTTACGTTAAACATGATTTTTGTCCTCTTTTACAGCTATAGAGTTTAGTGAGAGATCATTAAGCTTCTCCGGAATAACAACTAGTTTGGTCCTTTACTTCACTAAGGTTATTCATCAAGATCTTAAGACAGCAGTTAAGAATGTGAACTACGTGGCTGGTTCCACCACTTTGTTTGCATTACTCGGAGGATTCTTGGCTGATGCATACTTAGGTCGTTACACCACTGTGATATAGCATCATGTGTTGTTTATCTCATGGTAATATAAATCTCACTCACCACATTCAATTATGAAAATCATGACATTACTATTATTAATTTAGCATTTTATAATTATATACCTTATTAATTATGAAAAACTTGTTTTTGTCTGAAAAAAAAAAAAAACAAAAACAGGGTTTGGTTATGCTTTGCATGTCATGGTTCTTACCAGCTTTTAAGCCATGCGATCATAATATGTGCACTGAACCTAGGAAGATTCATGAAGTGATTTTTTTCCTAGGCATCTATTTAGTATCCATAGGAACTGGGGGGCATAAACCTAGCTTCTTTGCAGAGCTTTGGTGCTGATCAATTTGATGATAATCATGCTGAAGAAAGAAGGCAAAAAATGTCATTTTTCAACTGGTGGAGCTTTGGTTTGTGCAGTGGACTCATTCTGGGATCCACCGTGATTGTTTATGTGCAAGATCATGTAAATTGGGGAGTTTCTTATATCATCCTCACAGGGGTCATGGCTATCTCATTGCTCGTGTTCTTGATAGGGAGGTCTTCTTATCGTTATAGGACACCAATTGGGAGTCCCTAATTAACTCCTATGTTGCAGGTTCTTGTTGCTGCTATTTCCAAAAGAAAGCTTCCATATCCTTCCGATCCAACTCAGTTGTATGAAGTTTCCGAGTCTGATGGCAATAGTGAGAGATTTCTTGCTCATACCAAGAAATTCAGGTAAGTAGTAAAAACTATATCATTACATGGAGAAAGAGAGGTCGATTTAGAGGTATATATATATTCAATTCTTATGTTATATATGTGGCACATGTGAAGGAGGTAAAAAAATACTTTTATATCAAAAAAATCAAAAGTCAATTTTGTTGGATTGTTGTGCACCGCGGAAACCTTGTAAACCAATGTTGGCCTATTAATTCAAACTATCAACTGTGATTCTAATTATTGTGCAAAAGTTTTTACTCTTCACATATTATCTATTTTGAAAATTTTCATAAATTTATTTTTATCATCATTCAAAATATTTTTTTATTAATGAAGATTTTGTGTGTATTTATAAATTCATGTTTCTCCTATAATAATGAGGTGT